CTGATACAGTGTGTGCACTGTATCCCCACCCTACACCCACCATTGCTAACACTGATTTCTCTCCACTCCCACTTGTAAGCGATGTAATTATTTGGGATTTTAGTATGTAAGAATGGCATTCTGTTTCCACATAACTATGAAGAATTGTGTCTCAAAGGAGTAGGAGAATGGAAGATAGTTGTAGATCAATAGCATCCCAGTCTGTAGTGGGTATTGATCCAGTGTCTCTAAACCAGAGACAAAGCAGTCTCTGAACCAGAGCAAGGAGGTAAGGGAAGAGCAAATAGTTTGTTTTTTCTTTAGACTGGAAGGCTTGCTCTGTTATTAAAGCTGACAATAACGGTCAGTGTGGCTCTTGATTATGCTTTGCAGGTCTCTTTTAGTATTCTGAAAATAGGCTCACCAGCATTAGATTTAGCGTGACATGCATTTATATTTTTCTATTTATCATGTGGAATTGCATCTGGAATGACACATCTTAAATGTTATTATTAATCCAAAATGTCTTACAGAATTTAATAACCCACTGAATTTTTATTGAGACCACAAGAAAATCAAGACAAAAAGTAGGCATCTAATAATGTTTTTTGCACAGAATCTAAATATGGTCCCACATTGCCAGAATCATCATTTCAGGGTCTTTGTTCCAATAAGACAATGTAGGAAATACCTCCATAAACTGGATGAAAAGCATCATTCAATTCTATTATTGTTTTATAGATGTCATACTGCAGTTCTGTGGTTTTTGACACGATGAGCTATATCCCATCTTCCGCACATGACTGATCTATTCTGTCATCATGCATTTGGTCAGCTATTGCTGCATTGGGAGAATTTGCTTCCCCTTTTTTCTGGTACTCCATGTCTCTAGGTCAATTTGCATTTACCCCATAGTATAGTTCTCCCTAGAAAAATTTTCCTAATTAACACTTCTGCCATCCTGCCTGTGCCCAGCTCCTCTCAGGAGGCATATCGCCGCAGGCGGAGGCTTAGCCTATTGAGCCACGGCACCAGCACACCGGGTTCTAGTCCCAGTCGGGGCGCCGGATTCTGTCCCAGTTGCTCCCCGTCCAGGCCAGCTCTCTGCTGTGGCTTGGGAGTGCAGTGGAGGATGGCCCAAGTGCTTGGGCCCTGCACCTGCATGGGAGACCAGGAGAAGCATCTGGCTCCTGGCTTCGGATCAGCACAGTGTGCAGGGCACAGCAGCCATTGGGGGGTGAACCAACAGAAAAGGAAGACCTTTCTCTCTCTCTCTCTTTCTCTCTCTCTCTCACTGTCCACTCTGCCTGTCAAAAATAAAAAAAAAAGTTTGTGGAAAAGGGAATTAAAAGGTAAGTTTATTTTGGTGCAAAAAAAATTGAAAACCATACATATTTTCAAAGTACATATGACCCCTCATATTTGGGTTCTGATGTACCAATCTGTTTTCATTATTATTATTCTCTTACATGGTGAATTTATATAATTTCACTGTGTTTGCCTGTTCTGATTGTCCATGACCAGAAGCTCATGGAAGGCAAGACCTGCTTCCTTGAGGTGTTCTCTGACTCCTTCTTCCTCTGGATGGAAATATCTGGTAAGGTGCCCTGCATTTAATAACAATGACTGTTCTTCACCACCTCATTTTGATCAATGCTAATATTGTTTAAGCTAAGATTATTGAGGAGCTTCTCTCCTAGATGCTAATTTATGCTAATATAATGAACTCAAACAAGTTTTATTTGTTGTTGTTAAGAGATTCTGCCCTTTAGCAATTCATTATAATCTGAACCTCAGTGCCATCTGGATATATGTGGCAATCCTGTGGGAATTTAGAACCTCCTTCAAACCCAAATATCCAAGTGAGGAAAGTCGTCTACATGAATTAATTACCAGATGCCAGAAAAAGACTACAGGGCAAAATTATTATTCTTAAGGCAAGGAAGAATGCAAAACGAATTGGACTTTAAAATTTGGTATTTCACAGTTAAAACAGTCGAGAAGTGAGAATGGTATTAAAGGGAACTAAAAAATCAGAATATGATACGAAAGTCACTGAACTGGAAAGCATAATTCTTAGCATTAAACTGAAATGAAGACTACATGCTCAAATGAATCAGCTAATATCATTTGGTTTAGGGGATGCTATTCATTGTATGGCCATGGTTGACGTCATTAATTGTTAATGGCCATAAATTTTCGTTCTTTGTTCATACAGAGTTCAGATTTCTTTTCAAGTAGCTATTAGCAATAGATTGACTTTGTCATCTCTGATAGTTCAGATTATCATTCAGCCTAAATTCATGTCCCTCTCTCTCCCTCTACAAGCAGAGTATTTTCCCTACCTCACAGATATCACTGGACTTGGTCTTATGACTTGCTATAACCAATGGGATGAGTTGTGCAGACAGACTTTAGATGTGCTTATGTGATTTGGCTTGTGGCTCTTTTGCTCAGATATCTATCATGGGAAGATCATGCCCCAGGTATCCACTGCTTTTTCAGCATGGGCCTCCCAACAAGCTTATGTGGAATATATCTTAGCCCAATCTGCAGCCTGAAGCAGAGCATGTGAGATGTGGGTAAGAATGGATTCTCGCTGTTGGAACCCATGGCCCACCTTAAGTGAAACTTAATTGTTATCCCTGCCCTAAAAACTAGTAGAATTCAAGGATAAGGTTGACACATATTTCAGAAATAGTCAAGAGCCAGTAGGAAGAAGAAATAGTTATGTTGGAAGTTTGAACCATATTCCTAAAATTTTAGAGTTTTGACTAAATCTCTCATACAATGCACTGGGACTATGAGATTAACAGAAATGAAATGGTTTGGCTGAACATGGATGCAACTGAGGACTACTGATTAATAATATACTCTGGAAGCAGGCATTTGGCAGAGAAGTTAAGATGCCTGGATCCCATACCACAGCATCTAAGCTCCAGTTCTAGCTCCACTCTTGATTCCAGCTTCCTGCTAATGTACACCCAGGATGGCAGCAGGTGACAGCTCATGTAATAGAGTCCTTGCCACACACAGAGGATATCTGGGTTCAGTTCCTGGTTCCTGGCTTCTGCCTGGTCTAGCCCCAGTCATTGCAGGCATTTGGGGAGTGAATCAACTGATGGGGGTGTTCTCTCTCTCTAACAAATAATGAAAATATTAAAAGATTTTTATAACTCTAAAATGCTATACTTCTTCTGTAACAAAACAATAATAATATGCTTTTGGAGGCATATTCCTTGTCCTGAACCAGGGCATACTGAGCTGCCATGCGGTGTCAAGCAAAAGAAGTGGCGACCAACCCCTCCCAGTCGCTGGACTGCCAGATTGCCCTGTACAGAGTAAATGGCTTTGACCCTGGAGAACCATCTATGGGTGGTCTAAAGAACACTAACAGCTCAGTCTGGGCTATGGCCCATAAATCTAAGAAAGCAACATTATGCCAGGTAGGAAAGAAACAACAATTAGTAAACAAAGGCTCGGAGTATAGAATCCATCTAATGGTTTGACCTTAGGCCACCATTTTTAGGCTGGAAAATAAACTGGGTCACCCATTCTTCAGGAAAGAGCCCATCTCTGAAGGAGATGACTTCAGACATTAACATTTCAGCTAAGGCCACCCTTTAGAGTGAGGGCAGCAGAGTAAGCTGTTACCTGGAGATGTGAATCCAGAGGCTTTGGAAAGACCACTCCCACCCATCAGGATGAAGGGAAAACTACGTCTCCTTTGGGTCGGTGCTCAACTCATCTCCAAGCAAAATTAGAGCTCACTGTTACCGAAATGTTTGTCTAGAGTCAGCCTCTAGCACCTTGCTTCTAAATTAATAACTATCCAAGTACTTAGCACACAAGTACTCAATCTTTTTCAAAGGAATGAATGCTCAAACCTATAAAAGAATGTTAAATTCTTATGGTACTGGTGATCTGACTTAGAAGTTTATAATATTACTAAGTGTCATACTGTGAACAGGATTTTGCTCTCTAAACTCGTGCACTTGACCTCTAAGTCCTATGTTAACAGTTAGTGGAGTGATGCTAATGATGGATCTATCAGGATGGAGGTTTGATTCAACTTTGGTGTCTGAAGGACCTTTGAAAAGTGAAGGATTGGATTAAGTTACCAGGGTGGAGCTCCATGATTTGATCATTATGGCATTGGAAGGAGAGGCCACATACAGGGTAGGCAGAGAGCGTGCCTCCTATGTCTATCTCTCTTTGCTTCCAAGTTCAACATGTGATCACCCCTCAGCCATCCCCCAGCCTCACCAAATGCCTTAACCAAAGGCACTGCCTGATCTGACTGTGAACCTCAAAATCATAAGCTGAAACCAACCTTCTTCCTTCCTGAGCAGCTGCTCGCAGGCATTTTAGCCAAGGTAATGAAAAGCCGCCTAGTACACTAAGTAACAAAGGAGTCGCAGGTAAGCAAACGTACAAGTCGTAATAGGGTAAAATCTGAATTCTGCTACAACTCTCATCCATTTAATTACTTAAAAAATATTCATATTGCATGCCTGCTACATGCAGACATTGTGTGATCTGCTATAGAAGGAAATCACAGAGACAAAGCCCCTGCCCTAAGGAAGCTGATAATTTAATGAAGGAGCTTAAACATGCACTCAAACATACACACAAATACAAAATAATTAAGAAAAGAAACAAGGCAGCACATGGGAATGTTATAGTGAGTGCACATTTTAGATTAGAGGATCAGAGAAGGTTGTTCCAACATTCCCACAAGATCCACTGCAATGTGTAAGCTGAAAAAAAAATGAATGGATAAAAAGAAATATCATTTTCAGAGAACCCTGTGTTTGAAATGCAGCTGCTGACTGAGTAACTTGTATGCACAGGCAGTGAACTGATGGCCTTCTACTTGGAAACTAGGACCCCTTATGACCCTAGAAGTTCCCCAAATCATTCTCTTCTAAGCTAAAAGCTAACAAATCATCACAATTATACCTTCAAAACTTGACTACATGTATCAGGTTTTTTAAAAATGGGTAGAAATTCAAACCTACCAAGCAAATAATCTGTATATGAAGACAGAAGATCCACAGTGGCAAATTCTGGGATATTTGGTAATACCACTTGGTTGACTTTGTCAGTTCTAGCATTCTTCTTTCCAATAAGCAGGTTTATTGCCAGCACAGCTTCACTGACCTATAATTAATTCATAAATGTAAACATTCTTATTTATAGATTATCCATTAGCTAAATGTTATAGTTTGACTATGTCCCCCCAAGTTCACATGTTTATCACCAGTGAGGAAGTGTTGGGAGGTAGGACTTGAAGAAGTGATTAGGCCATGAGGGCTCTGTGCTCATTAATGGACTAATACTATTCAGTGGAGGGGGCTCATTACTGCAAGAGTGCGTTCCTTATAATAGGACAGTTCATCCCCCTTTCTCCTTCTCTCCACCCCCCCTCTTTTGCCCTTCTGCGTCCTGCCATAGGCTTACACAGCAAGAAAGTCTTCACCAGATTCTAGCTCCTTGATCTTAGACTTCTTAGCCTCAAAAACTGTGAGCCAATGAATTTCATTATAAATGAGTCTGTCTGTGCTATTAATTCTTGTATAGTAGCAGCAAACAGACTAAGACATGAAATAATATAAAAAGAATGAATTCATAAATTAAACATACATTGCATGTTAATATTAATATTAAATATACATTGTAAGAAAAATAGAGACAATCTGAAAAATATAGGTTCCTGACATGTAGACTATATCATATCAAATGAATCATTTAGTGCTGACAATTTAATTAACATGTAAGTCACCTTAAATAAGCCATCTCACCTAGCTATGACAGATAATTGGCAGTATCAAATGGGTATACATGTTTATTCACCAATATTTTCACTAAAGAAAACTAAACAGAGCCAGGTTTCATTAACAGAGATTAAAAACACTGCAAATATAAAGAATATCTCTAATCTTTCCAAGGAAACATAATTGACACAAATTCCAAATATATAAAACTTTCCTTTCTCTTATATAGATGCACTGTGCTGCTTTAATAGCTCATAGGCAGAGAACACAGCTGTGACAGTGCAAAGAAATATTCAACAAAAATTGTACTGACCTGTGCAGCAGCTCTTATCACAATCCAGGCCAATGAATTGTACATTTCAGATAGATTGACTGTTGGTTCTCGAATAGAACTATGTCTTCTAAGAGGCTAAAAATATAAAAAAAGTTTTATGATAAATATAGAAAAGGATATCACAAAGTTACATGATAAATTTTCTCTCTGAAGATGAAATTTTAGAAGATTTCTATGTAATAATCATATTATAAATGTGCTGACATGAAATGAAATTGAAAATATATTATAGAAATAATTATAGGTGGTACAGTAGGTTAACCTGTCACCTGCAACGGTGGCATCCCATATCAGAGAGTTGGTTGAGTCCTGGCTGCTCTGCTAACAATCCAGTTTCCTGATAATGTGCCTGGGAAAGCAGCAGATGATGGCCCAAGAGCTTGGGCTCATGCTATCCATGTGGAAAACCTCCACGGAGTTCGTGACTCCTTGTTCCAGCCTGGCCCAGCCTTGGCTATTGGAAGGTCAGTCTCAGTCAGTCATCCCCCAACCTCAACCCTCCCATATCCCTGCGGAAAACAATCCAGTCACTGCGGAAAACAATCTAGCAGATCATCAAGAGACTAAACACAGAGTTTTCCTATCACCCCGCAGTTCCACTCTTAGTCTATACCTAAGAGAACTGAAAAAATAGCCACACAAAAAGATGTCTATGAATATTCAAAGCAGCATTAATCATCACCGAGAAAATTAGAATCAATCCAAATGCTCATCAAGTGTTGAATGCAAATGGAAAATGTAGTATTACCCATATAGTAGACTATTATTCAGCAATAAAGGGGAACAAACTAGTGTTATATGATACAATATGGGTGAACCTCAAAAACATTATGCTTGGTGAAAGAAGCAGGCACAAAACATTATACATTACGTCATTCCATTATATGAAATGTCTGGAAAAGACCATCCACAGAGAGAGAAAACAGTTTAGGATTGTACGAGGTTGGAGTGGGGATAAGGTGGAGTACAAAAGGGTGTAAGGGATCACCTGTGATTCAGATATCGTTTGAGGTCCATGTGCAGGAAGCTTGGTCTCCAATGTAATGGGATTGAGGTGATGGGGACTTTAAGAGATGATTAGATAACTGAGGCAACACTGCTAGAAGGGGTTAATATGATTTGTGTAGAATCCGATTAGCTCCCAAGAAAGTAGTTTGTTATAAAACAACAAGCCTACGGCCGGCGCCATGGTTCACCTGGTTAATCCTCCACCTGCAGCACTGGCATCCCATATTGGCGCAGGGTTCTAGTCCCAGTTGCCCCTCTTCCAGTCCAGCTCTCTGCTGTGGCCCAGGAGGGCAGTGCAGGATGGCCCAAATGCTTGACCCCCTGCACCTGGCTCCTGGCTTTGGATCTGCACAGCGCCAGCCGTAGCAGCCATTTGTGGAGTGAACCAACGGAAGGAAGACCTTTCTCTCTATCTCTCTGTCTCACTGTCTGTAACTCTACTTATCAAAAAAAAAAAAAAAAAAAAACCAGCAAGCCTAGTCCCTCCCAATCTCTTCCTTGCTTGCACGCACAGGTGCCCTTACTGCACGCAGCTAGTTGTTTTTCTGCTTCTCTGCCATGTTCTAACACAGCCCATCTAAATGCTGGGGCCACACTGTTGGGACTTTCCAGCCACTGCAAACAAGACAAATCTCTTCTCTTTATCCATCCCCCGGATTCAGATACTTTGTTATAACATAAAACAGACTGAGACAGAATCTTTTTTGAATAATAGAGATGATCTAAAACTGGACAGTACTGATAATTAGATATCTCTATAAATTTACTAAACATGTGTGAATTGAAGTCTTAAACTGGGTTAGTGTCATGGGTGGAAATTATACCTCGGTAAGTTTTTTTAAATGTATGAACACTGATCTCATTCTTTGGCTTCTTTATCCCTCTTGATTATTTAGAAAAGACTACTCATCCTTCAAAATTCATCATATTTGTGAAGCTTTCTCCAGCATTCCTTCAAAACAGAATTAAGTCCCTACTTTGCCTCTCTTCTCCATCTTGGCATATGATGATCACATCCTTATCACATTCAGATACATGTATCCCTGGCAAGACTCTGGTCCTTAGGGCAAGTGGGTAGTATACCTGGATACACTTTAAACCCTCAATAAGTATTCAGATAATGAATGAATAAATGAATGCTCAAGAAAGAGTCAATCCAATTTACAAATAACTTTTGAACACCTACTATGTATGAAATGTTTTATAAAAAATGTAAAACTTTTAACTGAAGTTACATGATAGATAATAGTCTCATTTAAAGAAATAAAAATCTTGGGACAAGCATTGTGGCAGAGCTTGTTTGTGTCTCAGCTGCTCCACTTATGACCCAGCTCCCTGCTAATGGCCTGGGAAAGCAGTGTAAGATGGCCCAAGTCTTTGGGCCCCTGTTACTCATGTAGGGGACCCGGATGAAGTTCTTGGTTCCTGGCTTCATCCTGGTTTTCTGGCCATCTGGGGAATGAACCTGTGGATGGAAGGCCTCTCCTTCTCTCTTTCTCTGGCTCTCTCTGTAACTCTGACTTTCTAAATAGATAAATAAATATTTTTTAAAAATTCTCATTATGGGCAAACCCATTATCTTGTTTAGTTCTTCTAGCTACTTGGAGAGGTATCATCCTTATTTTAGATAAAATGAAAGTAGGCTTAGAAAGGCCCCAGTCCCACAGTTAGTATGCCATGAAACCAGGATTTGAATCTAACCCAGTGCAACAGTCACTGTGCTTATATAAACACTCTGTAAAAGTGAGACAAATTTGCTTCTTTTTAAGGATTTATAATGTGTTCTCCTTATTAGGACAAACTTAAAATATTATGTTTCAATGGTCTGATTGTGTCAGAATGAATTTCTAAATTTGTTTTCTTGGCTTTTAGGAACTGTGCAACTTGCTAAAATATTTTTACTGTGTCAAGATACAAAGAAAATAATGATCATATGTATATAATTATATTACTCTTTTCATTGAGATCCTAACTTCTCATTCTTAATTATAAACACTTCTTTAGTAAAGGCTAAAATGCATACATTAACATCACATAATTCCATTATTTTCTATTGCCATTTGCTATGGAAACAAAGATTTTTTTTTCTCTTGTGGAAATAAACATGTTTATCACACCACAGAAAATAATTTTTCTGGTTTGTAATCATTCTGATGAAAAAAATAGGTGCTACCCACCTGAGGAAGCTATAATATGAATAATTCAATTGACAGAGTCTGTTTGCCTAAAGGTTTTAAATTATGTTGTCCCCAAAATTAGAGATTTGACACCAATATTTTCTGAAAATATCTCTTGAGGGTCAAATGATTATTCAATAAGGATGAAATAAAAAAGCCTACTGAAATTTAAAAAAAATAAAAAATAAAATGGCCTCATAGGAGCACACTTCAAACACACCTGGCTTATTGATGCCTCTAGGATTTCCCTCCACAGACCCTTCGTACACAAGTAGGACCCACAGACCCCCAGCATAAGCATTACCTGGGAGCTAATTAGAAACACCAAGCCTCAGGGCTGGCATTGTGGCAGAGCAGGTAAAGCCACAGATGCCAGCACCTCATAGGGATGCCTGTTTGAGTCTCCACTGTTCTACTTCCATTCCAGCTCCCTGCTAATGGCCGGGGAAAGCAGCTGAAGATGGTCCAAGTCTTTGGGCCCCTGCCACCTATGTAGGAGATCTGGATGAAGCTCCTGGCTTTTGGCTTCAGCCTGACCTAGCACTGGATGTTGCAACCATCTAGGAAGATCTCTCTCTCCCTCTCTCTGTAACTTTTTTTTTTTTAACAAAAAGAAACACTAAGCCTCAATACACCTCACCCCATCCCCTACTGATTTCCTGAATCAGAACATTTTCTAAGCTGTTTCCACTCTTCACCTTGGATGCCACTGCTCTAGATGTGTAACCCACTGCAACCCATCAAATCCCACTTTTCAGTGTCACTGCTTCCTGCCATGCTCATGCAATCCTATCAGCCCAAGTTATTTATTTTTATTTTTATTTTTTTATTTTTTGACAGGCAGCGTGGACAGTGAGAGAGAGAGACAGAGAGAAAGGTCTTCCTTTGCCGTTGGTTCACCCTCCAATGGCCGCCGCGGCCGGTGCGCTGCGGCTGGCACACCGTGCTGATCCGATGGCAAGAGCCAGGTACTTCTCCTGGTCTCCCATGGGGTGCAGGGCCCAAGTACTTGGGCCATCCTCCACTGCACTCCCTGGCCACAGCAGAGAGCTGGCCTGGAAGAGGGGCAACTGGGACAGAATCCGGTGCCCCGACCGGGACTAGAACCGGCGGAGGATTAGCCTAGTGAGCTGCGGCGCCGGCCCCAAGTTACCTCTTAATCCTAAATTTCATACCTGAGTCATTTCTCTTTCTCCTCTCCATCGTCCCCTCCCACCTGTCTTGCTCTGGCTTTCTTCTTTTCCTGATTGATTGTCTATTTCCCTCTAGGGAAAGCAAAGCTCCATGAGATCGGGGACTGAGTTTCTCCTGGATGCTGCTTTAGCAGCTTTCTCTAGAAAGGTGCCTGCATCGTGGTAGGTGTTCAACAGATGTGTGACAACGAATAACTCCTATTAAGAGGTGATCTGTTTACAGATCATGTCAGTAATGAAAACCTTACTTGGGCATCTGTTTAATCAATATGTCGTTTCCTTAAATTTACCGATCAATTATGATGACTCATTATTGGCCTTAGAGTATTTATATATACCTACATTTCATATATAACATTATAACAGACAAAATAATCTACATGAAATTCATTTACAGAGCCCTACATAAAATAACCAAAGTGGTATCTAAACATAAGTGTGACTATAAAGTCAATTAATTTATTCAAGTCCCATAGGAAATATCTCATTTTTTCAATAGAACAGTGTTACCAAAATGGCTGCCTCAAAAGCAGTGGATTTATCTCTAAGAAAATAGTCTATTACCTTAATAGTTAAAGGTGATGTTGACATTTTTCTCTTCGGCTTCTTCAGATGAAAATATAATAGGGCCATTTCTAGGTAGGAATCTCTTATCAATCTAGAATAATATAATATTATATTTATTAAATAACTTCACCTCTTATAATCATTTTACATGATTTTTCAACAACTTGTGAGCTAATGAAGGATAAAAATAGTCAAAAGCAGCATCTGTCCCAAACTCACACCCTCTCCTCCCCGCATTTTTTGTCATAGATACCAGCATCTTCCTCCTTATTGAGATCTGCAGCTCTTGAAGAGAGCTGAGTATTCTGCCTTGTGCTGTGCCAGCAACACTCTATACTATAACTGCTCTTAAACACAACCACAAAATTTTTCTGAAATATTCTAGCACATAAACCTCTACAAAATGAAGATCAGAGCTAGAGGAAACTGCCTTGGAAACTTTCTCTACAGCTTCTTAACCTAACTAACATTAAAAGAAACAAATAAGAGTTAAGCAGAAAGCAAAAATTTGGCATTGGCTCTTCACTGTTTGTAGCATATGAATATACACTATCAAACCGGCCAGTTGGGGACCACTTAGCTCAGTGTCGTTGCAATAATGGTGGCCTATTCTAAACATTGAGTTCATTTTTAATACAGAATTAAGTGGGCTGATGATCAGAGTGAATATCCACATAAATCCCCTCCAGATAAAATTGCACCTCCAATGGAGGATCTTCTAGTTGAAAGATAACAGTCCAGGGGTAGCCCCAGCAATCCCAGGACTGACAAGAGCTCAGTTACAGGCCAGAAACAGTGCACAGTGCAGTGTGCTACAGTGAGAACAGCTGTCATCCACCATTCTTGCAAAAGAGACCATGGATCAGAGCAGCAAGCTTGAAGAGGCAGTCAATAACCTGTTGGGCAGATGGACCCCAGAAAACTTGCCCTGCCATGGAGATGACTCCCATCCATTCCAGCCTTGAATATTTGGCATCCTACCACAATGTGGGGCTTTAAACCAAACACACACATTGCTACAAAAGAAAGACATTTTCTTACCCTGGGTTTTGGTCATTTCTCAAGCTTAGTTGTATAGCTTCAAATAAACTCTCAAGTTGAGTAGTTGGAGATTTCTCATCCATCAGCATTTGGCGTTCTATTTTGCCTGAGAGAAGCAAACAATAAACAGTCATGGTCTTTATGTGATCTTACATTTGTTTGTTTATTTACACTTAGACCTTAAGAAGAAATATTTCAGGCTGCAAATTCAGAAAACTGAATGTTCTGCCTTTTGTATGCATGTTATTTCTTAATGTGAGGTAAGCCCACAGGGAAAGATCCATTGTTTCCTTCTCCTGCAGGGAACAGCTGGCTTCCTTGTCTTCAGTTAGTAATGCTAAGTTGAGTCCTTTGGTTTTCCTGACACAATTGGTCTCAACCATATTGTTTTTCCATACAATTCATTACTTTGTGCTCCCCCATCCCACCTATATCTCTCATTCCCTTTCTCATTTTCCTCTGCACCATCTACTTCACAGATATCTCAGAAAACATCAGCATTTCTATGCTCATTGTGGTACTATATACAATAGCCAAGATACAAAATCTACCTGAGTGTCCACCAATGGATGAACATAAAGGAAGGAAGGAAGGATGAGAAAGGCAGGGTGGGAAGTATCATCATGTGCTTAAAATTGTATAAATGAACTACATGAAATCTGTTCCTGTTTTATAAATAAATAAATAAAAGTTTTGCCCGAAAATAAAGTTGTCTTTTAATTTTATTTTCCATGAGGTTTTTAAAGTTTCCATGTATGCTGTTACTAATAGAAATTAACAAAAATGTTTAGCTAAGCAATGAATGAATACAGAAAAAAATATCTTCCAAGCATTATTTCAGTAACATTATTTATAGTCAAGTAGCTAACTTTTTTATTTGAGAGGAAGGGAGAGAGTCAGAGGAAGGAAGAGAGAGAGAGAGAGGGAGAGAGAGAGAAACTCTCATCTTCCAGTTCATTCCCTAAATGCCTACTAAAACCAGAGCTGTGCTGGGACCAGAAGCAGGAGCCTGGAACACAACGCAGGTCTTCCACATGAGGAGAAGGAGCCAGTCTTTGAGCTGTCACTACTGCATCCCAGTGACTGCATTAGCAAGAAGATGGAGTCAGGAGCTGGAGCCGGAAATCGCGATCAAGCATTTCCATGAAAGAAGTGACCTAAATGCCCGCTGCCTAAGTGGCTGATTTTTAGTCAAACATAAAACTTTGAATAGGGAGAGTCACTTGTAATTATGACAGAAACTAAATATTCGTCCTTTTCTCTCTGGGTATAGACTTAAAATATATAGGGGTTTTGTTTGTTTGTTTGTTTGTTTTGTTTTGTTTTGTTTTTACATAAAATCGACTGGCAGCAGTACCAACTTGCTTGTCATTACCGAAATCTCTCAGTAAAATCTGTATTTCTTAGAGTCAATGACCAAATTTTCAAGAAGCCTATTTTTACAGGGAAAAAAAATCACAAAAATGTATCATGGTTCTGACCCCAAACACACCTTACCTTTTTGAAAAAGGATTTCAGCTTCTACCTCATGTTCCTCCACTGCGGTTACCCTACAGAGCTTCAGTGCCATTTCAAAAAGATGAAGGGCAGGTAACCACTTCGAGTGGTCCTTCTTTCTACTGTTGTAATACACTTGCTTGGCCATCGTATGTCCTAAAAGGAAAACAGTTGTGTGAGGGAGAACAATAAATGACACAGTGTTCATAACAGGCTGACTTCTCTCATGGTAAGGGCATCTATTAAGAACTCTGGTGGTCTTTATAGCTTTTACTATTCAAAGAATTTTTTCCATTTCTATAAATTTGTTGAATTTTTACTTTCAAAATTTAACAATTTTAACATCTTGCTATAGTATTTCAAATGGAGATATTATATATATGTACATATATATGCTATTTTTTTCTTGGCAACAGAGATATTTATATCACAAAATGAGGAATTTATTAGAACAATCATAATGTGAAATAACACACTACCCAGTATTTTAATGTACTGAAACAGTCCTTTGAAACTTTATCTTTGATGAATTTCCAATTTGTTTTCTGATTTTTTAAAAAATATTTATTTATTTTGAAAGAGTTACAGAGAGAGGGAAACATAGAGAGTTAGAGATCTTTCATCCACTGGTTCACTCCTCAGATGGCTCAGCCAGGAATCAGGAATTTCTTCCAGGTCTCCCACGTGGGTGTCAAGGGTCCAAGTATTTGAGCCATCTTCTGCTGCTTTCCCAGGCCATTTACAGGGAGCTGGATCAGAAATGGAGCAGCTAGGACACTAACTGGCACCCATATGGGATGCTGGCAATGAAGGTGGCTTTACCCACTATGCCATAACACAGGCCCCATAAGAAATTAAAATCACTGCTGGCACTGTAGCATAGGAAGAAAAGCCACTGACTGCAGTCCCAGCATCCCATATGGGTGTCAGTTTGAGTCCCAGCTGCTCCATTTCCCATCCTGTTAATGTGCCTGGGAAAGCAGGAGAAGATGGCACAAGCGCTTGGACCCCCGCACCAATGTGGGAGACCTAGAAGAAGCTCCTGGTTCCTGGCTTTGAATCAGCCCAGCTCTAGAGGCTGCAGCCATCTTGAGGAGTGACCCAGTAGAAGGAAGATTTCTTTGTCTGTCTCTCTCCTTCTCTCTGTAACTCTGCCTTTCAAATAAATAAATAAGTCTTTTAAAAATGAAATTAAAATCATTTTTAAAAAATTTGTCCTTCAGAGATCCAGAATAAGTTCCAGGCTCCTAGCTTCAGCCTTGCACAGCCCCAGCCATGGTGGTCATCTGGGTAAACTAGTGGATCAAAGATCTCTCTTTCTCTCTGTCTTTTCCTCTCTATCTGTAACTCTGCCTTTCAAATAAATAAAAAATAAATCTAAAAAAGATAATTCTTCCCTCAGAGATAATAGAAGTCCTAAATAGTTTCACTGGTGAACTCCCTAAACATTAAAGAAGAAATAATAAACAGTAAGTTCTTTCAGAAAACAGAGAAGGATCAAATGCTTTTGAACTCATTTTAAGAGATCAACATAGCCCTTATATAAAAAATTAAGGTGTATAAGAAAAAAATTACAGAACGATATCCTAATACAAGTGGAAAAAAACTCCTAATATTTTACAGCAAATATAATCCAGAAAAAGTAAGAATAAATATGAATATTAGAGTTTTCTTCTCTTTCTCTTTTGTCTATTTGCTCTGTTGTTGAGATTTGTACTTTCACATATTTTTTTTAAATTTTTTTTGACAGGCAGACTGGACAGTGAGAGAGAGAGAGAGACAGAGAGAAAGGTCTTCCTTTGCCGTTGGTTCACCCTCCAATGGCCACCACGGCCGGCGGGCTGCGACCGGCGCACCACGCTGATCCGATGGCAGGAGCCAGGTACTTATCCTGGTCTCCCATGGGGTGCAGGCCCAAGCACTTGGGCCATCCTCCACTGCACTCCCTGGCCACAGCAGAGAACTGGACTGGAAGAGGGGCAACCAGGACAGAATCCAGCGCCCTGACCGGGACTAGAACCCGGTGTGCCGGCGCCGCAACGTGGAGGATTAGCCTAGTGAGCCGCGGCGCTGGCCCACATATTTTCTTAATGGTAGTTATCATCCTTTTGCTTCTTATGTAGGACTTTCTTAACCATTTCTTGGTTAAGGACCAATCTGTTGGTGATGAACTTCTTCAATTTTTGCTTGTCATGAAAAGTCTGTATCTCTCATTTCTGAAGAATAGCATTTCTGGGTATAGTATTCTTGGTTGACTTTTTTTCTTTCAGAATTTTGAATATTTCATCTCATTCTCTCCTAATCTATGAAGTTTCAGCTGAAAAGTCTGCCACTAATCGAATGGTGGTTTACTTATAAGTGTCTCAATAAATTTTCTTGCTGTTTTGAAATCCTCTCTTGTAGTTTTGACAATTTGACTAGAATATGACTTAGTTAAATATGTAAAGGGTCCTTTTGTTACCTGGACCTATGTACATATCTTTCCCAAGATTTGGAAAGTTTTCAGCAATCTATTCAATAGATCTTTCTATACCTTTCGCCTTCTTTACTCTGTCAGGAAGAACCATAATGTGAATGTTTGCTCACTTAATGATGTACCATAAGTCTCAAAGGTTTCATTCATTCAATTTTTTTCATTTTAATTGTTCCTCAGATTGAGTTATTTCAAGACTTTTCTTCAAGCTCAGAAATTCTTTTGCTCATTCAATTTAGCTATTGAGATTCTCAACTGCAATTTTTTTTGTCATTTATTAACACCATCCTCTTATTGTCACCATCCTCTTACGGCCTTGAGTATCTTCCTCTGAAAAGATGAGGCAGAAGAACTAGGAAGGAGCTGAAGTCCCTTCGGGTTCTGAAGGTTTTCAATATTAACATGACAATCTCTGTAGCATACAGGAGTCTCAACTTGTTCCTTTCTCTGTGTGTCTCTGTGTGTGCACGTGTCCTTCCTGCCTCTGTCTCTGTCTCCCCACTAGGGAGAAGTTACTGAACCTGTACTCTGAGCCAGGCAGGATGGTGGCACACTGCTCAGGATATAGAGACCAAAAGCTAAGTCCTCGCTTCCAAGAAGCTCCCAGGAGAGCGAGGGTCCATATGGAACAGTAAAACTCTTACAAAAAGCTAGGTGTCCTCTTGTGCACATTGTACATTATTCCAATTGCTTAATCCACAGCAAGTGATATTAATGCTTATCCACATTGTAAGGGAAGAGGAAACCCAGGGAAGTCAAATGACTTGTTCAATGGAATTGAGTAATAATTCTGCCCCAGAGTCCACACTCTTTTTTTTTTTTTTTTTTTGACAGAGTTAGACAGTGAGAGAGACAGAGAGAAAGGTCTTCCTTTCATTGGTTCACTCTCCAAATGGCTGCTACGGCCGGCACTGCGTCGATCCGAAGCCAGGAGCCAGGTGCTTCCTCCTGGTCTCCCACGCGGGTGCAGGTGCCCAAACACTTGGGCCATCCTCCACTGCCTTCCTGGGCCACAGCAGAGAGCTGGACTGGAAGAGAAGCAACCAGGACTAGAACCCCGCGCCCATATGGGATGCCAGTGCCAAAGGCGGAGGATTAACCAAGTGAGCCATGGCACCGGCCCCAGAGTCCACATTCCTAATCCCAACAACTACTAACTGTGACTAGATCCCAGGCAAGAAAGGAAATGAAAGATATGCTAATGACATTTGTCCAGAACAACATCATATTCATGTATCCACCATTTTTATATATTTTGCTTAGTTCAAAATGTGCCACAATTGTTTATTAATATGACAGAAATATCAAGTATCTTCATGTCATCACGGCACACACATATGTATATATATAATGTATAGGTTTACTATACTACAGAGGTAATATACACTAGTAGTATGTAAATTGCTTTAGATATATTTGTTAAAATCATAATTATAGCAGAAATTATTGACTATCTTCTCTCTGGCTCCCAATGAGGCACTTTAAGGGAAGAGACAGTCACCCATTCCTAATTATATCCCAGTTCCCCAGCATCATTCTTGCACATAAATTGTCCTGAATAAATGTCTGCTAGTTGAATGAGTATAAGAAATTTCAGTAACTTACATTTACTTCTATCATACAACTGGTAGTTTATATTTACATCTAATAAGAAGGCTTAAAGTTCAGTGAGAAAAATAATCTGAAGTAGTCATGATGCTTAGTTATGTTTCATTTTAAAAATCTTAAAATGCCTTTTTCTATCACATTTTAGCAAAGAAAGGAACTTTAGTTCTATTTAGGCTCTATTCTTGCGATGTAATCTATAAAGGAAAACTGTCAAAGAAACTTTCAAGTCATAGATGAATCTGTGATTCACGATATTAAAGTGTTCCTTTCTCCAGCAAACATCAACTCCATGAAAAAAAGTTATGAAACTGACATTGTTTTGACAGAAAAACTGCTTTTGGTTTTGTTTTTTTAAGTCTATTTAATTTAATATACCAGAAAGAAATCTGCTCAGCTTCAAGTGAGTCTAAGAAACAGCAACAGTGTTGTCATTGAGTGGGGACACATATTCAATATTAATAAGTCAGAAAATCAGGGAATACACCTGTACTTTAAGCTCATATAGAAAGTCAATGTGGGGCTGGTGCTGTGGCGTCATGGGTAAAGCCACCACCTACAGTGCCAGCATCCCATACGAGTGTCAGTTCGAGTCCCAGCTGCTCTACTTCCTATCCAGTTCTCTGCTATGGCCTGGGAAAGCAGTGGAAGATGGCCTAAGTGCTTGGGTCCCTGAACCATGTGGGAGACAGGGAGGAAGCTCCTGGTTCCTGACTTTCGATTGGCTCAGTCCGGCCATTGCAGCCATCTGGGGTGTGAACCAGAGGATGGGAGACCTCTCTCTCTGCCTCTCTGTAACTCTGCCTTTCAAATAAATAAATAAATCTTGAAAAAAAGTCAATGTACTGTTAATTTAACAAATTGTGAACTGAAAAATGCAGGAAAAATAGTTCTTAAAGAGATCAGAAAGCTAGAAGGCATTTGAGAGGCCAACTGAGTCAGCCTGGTTTCACAATTGAAAAAGCAATATAGAGGTGAAATAATTCACATAAATTAATAAAACTCGTATCTGATTATTATCATCACATAACAATGATCAACAACAATGAAAGGAAGGAGTAGAAGAGAGATGAGGGGA